CTATTATAAGTTCTCATGGAATCATGTACCATAGTTGCGGTTTTATACATGTGATTATTTTACCATCTTTTATTAAACTGTAAGCTCTATGAGGTCAGCAATTATGACTGCTGTTGCTCATTTGCCCTTGTGTTGTGCTGGTGAGACTCTCAATAAATGTGGAAGAAAGGAATGCTTCACATTCCACAGTGACGTGAAATATGATTCTACCCTTCAGAAAATCAGTATGTAAAAATACGACCTTTTGAACGACGAAGAGAGGAGTCCCAAACACATCGCTATTCTTGCTGCTGAGTAGAAGATGAAGGACCCTGTCTCCAAAGTCTTAAGAGCTCCATAAGGGCCAGGTCCTTATCTTTTTCCTCAAAAGTGAGTCATTGATTTTGTTTGGTTTGGAACTTCTGGTGATTAATTTGAGCAGCTGAAATGTAAAAAGCAGCTGAAGAAGTATAACTTTAACCAGGGAGGCTGTAGTTTAACCATTACAGGCTCAGAAGTCTCGAGTCTGGAGCCAGATAAATTAGATGGTACCCTTGCTTAGTTATGTGACCTTGGGCGAGTTTCTTAGCCTTTCTTTGCCTCATTCTTTGATACTGCCTACCTCAACAGGTTGCTCTCAAGTTCAGATGGAAGAATACATGTAAGACAAGTAGAACTGTGTCTGGCACGTAGAAGGAGCCCTGGTGGCACAGTGGTTAAGCACTGTGCTGCTAACTAAAAGGTCGGCAGTTCAAACCCACCAGCTGCTCCGCAGGAGAAAGATGTGGCAGTCTGCTTCTGTAAAGATTACAGCTTTGGAAACCCTATGGGACAGTTCTACTCTGTCCTGTAGGGTCACTGTGAGTCAGAATGGACTTGACGGCAACAGGTTTTTTTTGTTTTCTGGCACGTAACAAGTGCTCAGTGTTAGGTGCTGTCGAGTTGATTTTCAACTCATAGCAACCCTATGTGACAGAGTACAACTGCTTCATAGGGTTTTCTTGACTGTAATCTTTATGGAAGCCAATTGCCAGATCTTTCTCCTGCAGAGTTACGGGGTAGGTTCGAACCACCAACCTTTTGGTTAGCAGCTGAATGCTTAACCCTTGCGCCACCAGGGCACGTAGCAAGTGTTCAGTACATATTAGCTATTATTCACCTCCACTTTCCCTGCCTTCATGGAGGTTACATAGTCATTGTTTCACTAAGCCCTGTGCTTATACTGGGGATGGCAGAGGGGAATTAGAAAACATAGCTTTTCCCCATAAGGAGGCCACAGTTCATTCTCTGGAGAAAGGGAGATGGACAAGGAGATGTTTACTGCCCACTGTTCAAGACTTGGAGCACTAGTGGCAGCAGTGGTTAAGAGCTTGGCTACTGACCAGAAGATTGGCAGTTTTAATCCACCAGCTGCTCCTTGGAAACCCTGTAGGGGCAGTTCTACTCTGTCCTATAGGGTCACTATGAGTTAGAATAGACGCAGCAGCAACGGATTTGTTTTTTGTTTTTTTTTTTTGGATCTTCAGGGCTTGGCCTGAACAACATGTGTGTAAAGTGCTTGAAGATGCTTGGAAGAAAAGCATATAAAGGATGCTGAGAAGTTTTCATGTTTGTATTTTCCTTTGCATTCTATATAGTTCCTTTTTGTATTCTTTGTTCGTCTAGACCAGCCCACACTGCCAAAGTCAACTTTACTGTTCTGAAATAGTTCTAATTGAAGGCAAGGTGCCATTTGGATGGTCTGTCAAGCCCAACAATAATGGCTCACAAAACAGTGTTGACATTAAGAGCTCAGAGAGGGTAAGTAACTTACCCAAGGTTACACAGTTAATTAGCCTAAGAGCTGGGCTTTGAATCCAGGTCTGGTTGACTCGTAACCACTTCTGCCTCATGGATCTTGAGCTCCAAGGAGGTTTTTGAGAGTCCTCTGGGTGATCCACTGTTAGGCTCCTCATTTAAGAAAGGATAGAAGGACACTGAGCAGTACTTCTCACACTACCGTTCTGTGCTGTTGATTTGAATAGGAGGAGACATAGGTTTCAGGAGCTCTTGCACTGGCTTAAGGCTGCTATGTCAGAGGGGATGGGGAAATAAGATAATGAAGCCTTAGGGTTGAAGGAGACAATAGAGATAATCTTAACTAGCCTTTATAGATGAGACCCAGGGCCACTGAGTAACTTGCCTGAGGTCCCATTCCTCCATAATGGCAGGGCTGGGACCAAACCCAAGGCTTGGGGTTCTCCTCACATCCAGCAGATTTCTTTGAGGAGCTGACCCTCACATCTCACTGTCCCCCTAATCCTTCATTTCTTCCTTGCTGAGGGCCCATGAGCCCACTTCTTGTCTTCCTTAGCTTTCCCCCTTCTTTCCTTTCTCCTGCAGCAGAAAATTACACTTTCCATAACCAAGACCATCCAGTATCTGTGTCTGGCTGAAAGGAGAGGAAGGAGAGCAGGATTAGATAATGCTGGATTAACAGATGTTTGAGGAACACTGGATTAATGATGCAACGACAGTTCTGCTCTCCCTGGGAACTTGGAGGCAGACAGGGGGAGGAGAGTGGGGTCTTGTTTATACCATGCCTCCTGCCTCGGGGGATGGAAGCACGAGAGAAAAGCTGACACCAGTAGGTCATGAGGATGCCACTTGTCTGGATTTCAAACGCGTTGCATTCCATGCCTCCCTTAGGAACAATGGGCCACCCTGTGTTTAGAGCCTGGACCTCATCTGGTAAGATATTCCTGCGGCAGACGTGTCACTGGAGTCTTTCATGTGCTGGGGTATAGGCAGCATGGCCTCTTTTAGAAACCATGTGAACACTTCGAACTGTGCTCTGGCGAGTTGGTGCCAGAAGAATGGCATCTGTGGGGCATGTAAGCTTGGGAGAAACGTTTTTCTTTTTAACTTTTTATTGTGCTTCAGGTGAAAGTGTACAGAGCAAATTAGTTTCCCATTCAATAATTTATACACAAATTGTTCCATGACATTGATCACAATCCCTGCAATGTGTCAGCACTCTTCACATTTCCACTCTGAGTTTCCCGCTTCCATTCGTCCAGTTTTCCTGCCCCATCCTGCCCTCTCATCTTTACTTTTGGGCAGATGTTGCCCTTTTGGTGGGAGAAACTTTTTGATGTCCTCGTGAAAGCAGTGTTTTGCTCTGAAATCAGAGTATGTGTGTTCTGGCAAAAGCAGCAAGCACGGATCTGCCTTCTGCACGTGTACCAGGCCTCCAAGGAGACCTCTGACTGGACAGCCACCAGCTAGGTGTTTCATTTTGCTTAGAGTGGGCATGGGAAGGCGAAGATAGGAAGAGCTCTATCTGCAGTATTGTGAAACCCTCTGTGTCAGAGTTTACAAATGCTTCTCCCACTATTCCTTCTTCTAAACTCCTTTATACCAGGGCGTGTAAGACTTAAAGACCAGGAAACACCTGAGGATCTGGGGTGGAAACTTGCACTGAGCTAGGGCTCTGGTGTTCAGCCCAGCACTTTCTCTTTCGACCTTTGCTATGCTAGGTACCTATGCTGCTGCCCGGTCCCTAGCCCTGTAGACAGTCATTGGAGTGCCTTGTTTATACCCTTGGCCAAGTAGACAGTGTAGTAAAGCAAGGCCCAAACAGGAGGACCCCACCATGTGACTTAAGTTTCCACTGGCGGCCTTTGCCGGATATGAGCTGTGGGCAGGATCAGCCCGAGTAGCAGCAAATACAATACTGTGGTTTTAGTTTCTTTACTGAGCTGGGTTTTTTCCTTCTTGACTTTGAGCATCTTGAAGATAGGGACAGTGTCTTATTCGTCTTTGTATCCCTTGTGCCCAACACAGTGCCTGGCACAAAGACAGCGTCCAGTCAATGAACATGTTACTTTAGGAATAAAGAAATGCTGAAAGTCAGGTATAGCAGATGACTTAGAGGTTTCGTCGTATTCATAGTGGTCCAGAGTATGTTGTGGGCTCAGGTTAAGGTTGGCTGGTGGGATATTTCATACCTTAAAATGTGAAATAGAAATTTTTTCTCCACCTCCATCTTCATCCACCAGTGCTGTGAATAGAATTTGGCAGCTGCTAGATGGTTACTCAGCAGTGCCCTTTCTGTAGCTGTCCCAGACCAGGGCGAGTATGAACCCTGGATCCAGGCAAGATTTTTAAGAGACCACTCAATAAGCTAAAGATGATCTAGCAAACTGGAATTGGTCTAGGTCAGCTGACCAGGTCACCCCTTTTCTTAAGAGTGAAGGATTTTTGTATCGGATCTTTTAGCCCTCTTTTGAGTCACACTGTAATTAACCTTGGAGATCATGTGTTTTGAAGGGAGAACAGCATGACCAACTAGATGCTGATCCTAGAATATGAACTGCATTAATTATTCCAGGAAGTTTCACAGAAAAGCCAGTTTTATAAATTAGAGGAGAATCATCACCTCCTTACCGGCTGAGTTTAACACCAGGACTTGAAGTATTTCTGCTTGGATGTAAAGAAAGTGAGGCAGCCCTTTCCTGTCTGAGGAGAATGTCGCTGTTTGCCTGTTGACTTTGTGTGCTGAGTCCCCTACCCGTTTAATAAACTATACTTTTTTATTAGCCCTGCTGTCGTTATGTGGTTCTTTTTCATTTTTCTCTTAATGGAATTAACGTGGGTACAAAGTATTTGGGGGGGTGGGGGTAGATGACCAGGAATAAGAGGATGAGAAAAAAAATGATGTTATAAGCTATCATTTTATTTAATAAATTAAACATAATTTAATTTAGCTATAATTTAATATAGGAGCCCTAGTGGCACAGTGGTTAAGTGCTTGGCTGCCAACCAAAAGGTTGGCGGTTCGAACCCACCAGCCACTCCATGGTAGAAAGATGTGGCAGTCTGCTTCCGTAAAGTTTACAGCCTTGGAAACCCTATGGGGCAGTTCTTCTCTGTCGTATAGGGTCACTATGGGTCAGAATCGACTCAATGGCAGTGAATTTTGTTTTTGTTTTTTTTTGCTTATAATTCATTATACTAAATGGTTTTTCATTTTTTTTTAGGACAAGGAAACCTGTGTGGGTACCAACAATCAGAGCTACATCTGTGACACGGGACACTGCTGTGGACAGTCTCAGTGCTGCAACTACTACTATGAGCTCTGGTGTAAGTCTTTGCTCTCACCTCCCCTCCCCTGGGTTTCCTGGTCTCTCAGAGTCCCCGTTACTCTCTCTGCTCGTGGGAAACCATGGGCTTATCAGCACCTTCCTGATTTTCTTGAGGGTGGTATTGGTGAGTAGATCTGTTAACAGGCCCCAGAAGCAATTCTTTTGCAGAAGAGGAGCTCTGGTGCTCTTTGGACACCGTGGGTTGAAGTCTAGGGGATATGGTCTGTGCCTTCATAAGAGGCCATGGTCACCAGGACTGCCGCAGAAGGTCCTGCCTGGAGTCCCCTATGATGCCTTCTCCACCGTGTGCTGAGCATTGACAACAACTCCGGTCCTTCCGTGGGCCAGTCCAGAAGCCCAAGCTTGCCCTTTTTGCAAAAAGAAGTTGCTGCAGCCCAGCCGTAGTGAACGAAGGGCAGGGCTCTGTGGGATGGCATTTTTCTTGTGAGAACCACAGGGGCTTCCAGAATTCTCAGTAGAACATCAAGGAACTGTCTCTGTTTCTGAGGGACTCTCTCAAAGGGATAGTCTTGACCTACGTTTCTGCCTGTGGGCCTAGGAGACACAGAGTCTTGAGCTTCAGCCCCTGTGTTTTTTTCTCCAGTTCTCAGATTACAGCGTCTGGAGGCTTCTCCAGTGTACCTAACCTATTATTGTCAGCTAAATGCCTTGTCTTGCCACTGGTTTGGTTGAGGCTGGGACCACTTGTATCTTCCTGAGCTTTACAGGGTAGTGACTCTGTTATAGTCTTTAGGGAGTAAATCCAGGATTGATAAATTCACTAACACACGTTATGCTCTGATCTCCTTGGAACTCAGATGAAACAGCATAGGATGATAGAATCTGACCTTAGTTATCCCTGTAAAGAATGGGAGGATGGAGGAGTCCCCGGGCAGAGAGGCCACAGGGGACCAGCATTGCAATGGTTCTCACAACTATCTGTTGAGAGAAGAAACTGTGGACTAATTCTCCCAAATAATTCCAAGCTCCCATCCCTCCCTCTGTTTGAAAATAAACTTTGGGCTTATTTGTCAAGCCATGTCCTTACTCCCACCATCACCCCTGCCCTTTTTCATCTTCTGCTTTCTGATCTTCCATTCTCCCAAGTCAGTGATACAGTAAGAAAGCAACTAGAAGGGCTATTGTTTGGTATGGAAAGGAAGTTAGACTCTTGGCTGGGAAGTCTCTCCCTCAGAAACGCAATCACATCTTGTAGCCAGCGGGAGTGGTTCCTCCAAACAGTACCTCTCCCTTGCTCAAGCACTTCCCTTTCGAGAACCAAGGACTGTCTGGTTGACCTTCCCTTTCAAGAACTGAGGACTGGCTGGTTGGAATTCTGAGGAATTCCAGGGGCAGTCAAGGGCAGGAGGGGACAGGGCTCAAGATGTACCCCCAACCCTCCATCTATGTAAGCAGTAGCAAAAGAGGACACAGAATCCTTGTTGCTATTTTAAAATGGGTGGGGTTGAGAGACTTTCTAAAGAACATGAAGAGCCAAGCAGGTGGACAGACTGTGTTTAAATGTTTTAAGATGCAGATAACTATAGGGTTCAAGTTCTCCCTCCCACCCCTTGTTAAAACAAAAGTCTAAGCTGGGCTGCCAAAAAGCCATAGAGCTGCAGTTTGTTTTTCTGGGGCCCAGCCCAGGTGGCATCAGTTGTGGAAAGGAACGGAGTTGCTGATGGCCCCATCTGAGATTGACAGAGCCTCCTGGGGTATTGGCAGAGCAGATTCAGTAGCCACCAGAATTGGGTCACCAAAGCCGGGGCAGGGGGGTGGAGCAGGGCAGCAGGGACAGGGAGACCTAGATGGCAGGGAGACAGTCTGGGAAACAGGCGTCTTCACCCTAAGTGCTTTCAGAAAGCCAGAGGAAGAGCTGCACGCGTGGCTAATTATCTCCCAGTTATGGTCAGGTGAGGAAAGGAGAAGGGAAGCCAGATAGAGACCAGAGGCTAGACGGGAAGAAAAGACTCCCTGTTATACAAGTTGGCACATGCTTTCTACCTTCTGGAGGGATGGAGGCTGTAGAAGCAAAACTTTCCTCTCATTTGTGCCCAGAAGTGGATTCTCGGTCAGTAGATGCCCAATGTGTGTTCTGCCCCTCTCAGGAATTCCATTGGTTTACCTCCTTACTAGGGTCACGGCCTCTCCCCAGTGTGTGTAGGAGGGAGGTTGAATGTTGGAACGAGCTCCTGAAGTTCTTGTCAAACTGCATTTTTTGTTGCTTTAACCCTGTTGTCTTTAATTGCCTAGTGACTTTGCCTGAAATGTGAAAGTAAGGGGGTTTGGGTTTTTGGGTTTTTTTTTCTTTCCTCTGGAAGAAAAAATTTCAGCCAGAAAATCTTTGGCAGAGTTTTTGTCAGACAAAGGTGTGTCTTTAACCATAGTTGCCTCTTGCCTACAGGGAAGGTTCCAGGAAAAAAAAATTACCATTTCCACCAACACCTTTTACCTGTAATAAGTTGAATTTTCCTGTGTGCTGAAGACTTTGTCTCTCTCTCTCTCTCTCTCTCTCTCACACACACACACACACACACACACACACCCTACCCCTACCCCACTTTACACAGACACACAAGCATACACAGACCTTGAGCTTCAGCCAGCAACTTTTCCCCCATGTCTTAGTCTGTGGTAACCTAAGCCAAAAGGCATTGTTAGGCCTGCATCAGACAGGAACCAAAGGTCCTGCTTAACAGAGCAGAGGCTATAAGGATCTGGCCATCGTAATTACTATCCCATGTGTTTTTATGACACTGTAATTCATCATTCAGTCACTTATTCATTCAGCAAACTCTTACTCCAGTGGTTCTCAAACTTTTACGAGCATCAGAATTTCTTGAAGGGCTTGCTAAAACATAGATTTCCAGCCCCATTCCCAGAGTCTCTGATTCAATAGATCTGAGTTGGACCTGAGAGTTTGCAGTTCTAACAAGTTCCTGGTTCATACTGCAGCCTGCTGTGGCCTCTTCTCTTCTTAGTACTAGAAACTGTCGGGGAGATACAATCCTTGCCATCAAGAAGGTAATTTCCTAGTAGAAAGAGGAGACAAGACAAAATGTACAATTAGTAATATAGAGAGTGATGTGTATGTGCCAGATCTGCCATGAATGTTCAAAGAGAGAATTTGCCTTCGGCGACAGGATTCAGGGAAGGGGCTGTGTGGAAAAGGGGGCATTTGAAGTGGGCCTTAAAGGGTGAATAAGATTTAAACGGATGGAGAAGGGTAGAAGGACTTCCCACACAGAAGAACATCATTGGCTGAGGCCCTGTGGGAAAGAAGAGTATGCATCATGTTGTTCACTATTCCCCTGGGGCATGGTACTTGCCTGGGAAGAAATGGGAGATAAAGGTGCAAATGTGCAAGAACTCTCCCTAGAACTCTCCCACTGCCAGGCCCTAGGTAAGGCCTTCATTGCACCATCTCTTTTCTCCCTGAGAACAATCCTGCTAGGTGCACATATTATCCCCATTTCTTGGGGCTAGGGGCATTAAGTAACTGCCATGTTGGTTATAGCTGGTAAGGAGAGAGTCAGCGCCCCTCACTCCAAAGCCAGTCCCCTTCCAGGACTCCAACCAGGTCCTTCTAAGACCAGGGTGGAACGGTGGATGGGCCCAGGCTTTGAATGGTCTCGAATGCCAGGTTAAACACCTATGTGTGCATTGTTTAATTTCTACCTGAGGAGTCCCTTGATGGAGTAGATAAGAGTAAAGGAGAAAACCAAGACCCAGGGAGGCCAGAAATGCGCTCAAGGCCAAAAAAGCCCGGGCCCACATCTCCCAATTCTCATCCCAAGGCTCTTTCTACTCACTAAACTATTTTCCAGGGAGGGATCGAAGTTGGGAATTTGTGCTTCTGAGATAATTTGGGTAAACTTCACAGAGGCACGAGTATCCCTGGTTTGGGCTTTGGTGAAGAGCGAGGAGTGTTTCTTAACAGTGGAATTTCCCTGAGGTGACATAAAACAGACTATGAGCAAATCCAGTTAATGCTGCCCAGCTTGTTTTTCACCTGTTACTTCTTTTCCTTTTTAGTTTGTCTTAAGATACCTAGTGTTGAGCTGCTCTTAGGGAAGGTGCTGCTGGAGCAAATTGGCCAGTGGGGAGCCAGGCCTCCTTCCAAGACCCATTGGACCCCAGCTCCGTAGTGGTCCTGACTTCTTGACCATGGCAGATTGGGCTGGTATCAGCTGACACAGCACCTCATTTACAGTGGGGACTCAGTAAATACGAGTTGACTGGTTTTCTCGTGAATTTATCTAAGAACAGAACCTAGAAGCTGATTTTGGACTTGTTCGTAACCCGTGTTTCTTTATGGAATACTTTTCTGGGGGGTAAAAGGGAGATTTAAAAGAAATCCTTAATATCTGTGGTTATGACTGTAATAACAATATTAATAGTAAGCTAGAGAACTTACACATCAGGTGTAGTTCCGAGTACTCTGCACGTATTACCCCATTTAGTTCTCATGATGACCAAACGAGATAGAGACTATTATTCTCCCCATTTTACGGATGAGGGAAGTAAAACAAAATGAGCTGGGATTTGAACTCAGATCTTCTATATTTGTGGTCATGCTTCTGGGAAAGTTGTTGAGTATTTCAGGTGAAGTTGCGAGTCGTCTGAAGTCTTCGTTTCCCAACTCAGGCCTTTTCCACAGTGGCAGTGGCAGGAGCGCCTGCTGAGAGCTATAAGGGACCATGCACAGCGCTTCCAAACTAGCCTCAGCTTCCACCAGCAAGGTCACCCACCACCCAGGTCACCCACCACCCTGGGGTAGGAGGAGAGTGACGTACAGTATACTTCTGCTTCCTAATGCGGAATTTCCTGCCAGTTGGGGAGTGATGCTTTCCCAAGTTTATAGTGAACTCTGGGGCACATGACTCAGTTCCTACATTGGACTGTGATTGTTTTTAAAAACATGTTTTCCGTTTTGCTTAGCATGACAAACACTCCCCACAGTGAGGTCACAACTTCCAAAGTTGTCATTGAGGAATG